AGATATTAACAATGACTAAATAAAGGATTAAGGTCATATGCATGGACGTGAGTGTTCACGTCACCACTTAATCACTGACGACAGTCTTATTGCGTTAGAAATCAACTGCTATTTTACATAAATTTTATCCACTGGCTATTTGCGTCTACCCGTAACATTTTACTGGCGCTAATTTTTGTGTTCAATTGACGATACTTTCGATCTGTGCTTCGTGTTTTTTACGGCAGATTACCCAGAATTAGTAATCCTTTTCATTAACACTGTATCCCACCTCTCCTTGCACGTCGATGCCACAAACCGAATACAGTCAATAAAACATAAGAATATCTCGTGTACTGCTATGTGGCCTCAAATATAAGCAAACGACATCAATCAACGCTTAAGACAGCATTCCTGCAAACTTTGTGCTACATAGAAAACACACGATACCGTTTAGAGTGTATTAAGTGTTATGCGGTTTTGCATCTGCTATTTCGGTTCCGGCGACGCACGCCATGATTAAGAGTTCGCTTAAGAAACTTCCAAATAAACTACTTCTGGTTTAAACCGGATTTCTGTTCTCGGAGGTGATTTCAATTTCCTTTATGGAAATAGTGTTTGCACGTACAAGGAAGTTGCCATTTTACACGAACTACCTATCCTCTTTTAGAAACCTTCTATTGAAAGTAACCTTTCAAACACCTGCTTCATTATTTACCCATCAGTGGGAAGCACTAAAAAAAAATTTTGCATGACTATGTATCACACCACCTTGTCCCTCAACCCTCACCAAAGGTCCCCAATTTGAATATGAGCGTCACAATCGGTGGAATCACATTGAATGACTACCGTCAAGCTCGTGCAGTGCCACATTTTCAGATGTCCTCCTTGTATCCTGTCACCAAACATCTGCACACGAATAATTGCTGTAGTTCAATTGTCAGTGCCAACCACCGAGTTGCAAATGGGCGACTTAGGAGATTGTGGCATATTCCGGAGAGTGAATAGTACCATGTCCGACCACATACAAAATTAGCTCAAGTAAATCGCAGAAACCCTTCCATTTGGAATGCATGCATAAACGACTCGCGAGGTTTAAATTCATGGCGATTTAAATCCTCTCAATGCCAAAGTTATTTTCCAAGTTACTAGCAAATTGCAAACTTTCTCAAATATGCTAGGATGAAAAGGGGTACTAGTCGAATATCTTGACCAAATATTTGGCTGGATTCTGTGTGGTATTTGCGTCTTTCACCAATGTGATTATTTTCGTCTGGTTTTTTTTTCTTTTCACGCCGCATTATCTAATATTAAGTATTTACTCTTAATCTGCTAAATCAGAAGGTACATTAGGGTAGAACGTGGGGTACCGGGATGTGTATGCAAATTCAACATGACCGCCATTTTGTCAGGTTCAAGAATAGCTCAATTGAAATTGTTTAAGGCAAATTTAAAACAAAAAAGATGAGGTTCTGACAAAATATGTACCTCGTGATGATAAACATTCACAAACTAAGTTGATCAACAGATTTTCCATCTCTATGCATGTTTTTCGCTGTCACATTGTCTCAGGTTACAATCTTATGCCGCAACAGTCTCCTCCCCTGAAAAAACCCTCATCAATTTCATGTTAGCTATCCCAGCATCGGTCGCATGAAGTCTATCGCCCGCAGCTACGCCTACTGGCCAAATATGGGTCAGTAAGTAGCGGACCTAGTTAAGAGTTGTCGCCAATGCCAGCAAGCCACCAAGAACCCTTACAAGGTTCCTTTGGCTCCTTGGCCACAACCACAAATACCCTGGTCCCGGACCCATATCGACTTTGAGTGACCGATCAACGGAGTCTCGTACCTTGTACTGGTGGACGCCTACTCAAAATGGCTGGAATTCGTCCTAATGGCTTCCTCCACAACAACGAGGACATTACAGGCTCTGTCCCAGATTTTCAGCCGATATGGAATTCTGGAAGTCATAGTCTCAGACAACGGATCACAGTTCACATCCCAACAATTCAAGGAATTCTGTCGATAGCATGATATTACGCACATGCATTCCCCACCCAACCACCCACCGTCAAACGTACAGGCGGAAAGGCTCGTCGACTCATTGAAGAGAGCCCTGTTAAAATCCCGTGGGGGAGGAACGACATCCTCGAATGTCTACAGAATTTTCTGCTGGTGCATAGTACAACATCAAACGAGGCTCTTCCAAATCGACAGTCACCATCTGAGGTACTCATGGGTCGCAAATTGCGGACAACAGATTTCACTATGATTTCGGTAAAAGACGACCGCCTGGAGCCTTCGAGTACGAAATCTACCACTCCATTTGAAATTGGAACAACCGTGTACATTCGAGACTATCGACCGAGGCACGACCCATGGATTGAGGGGACGATAGCACATCGACTTGGAAAGGTCCTGTTCAATGTGACGGTGGGTCACGTCACGTGGTCAAGGCATCGCAACCACCTCAGATGGAGAAAAGGATCTGCGACACCAAATCGCCACAACAGCGTCCCACAGGAGGTACTTTTCGACACATTCCAGCTGCTGCCACCGACAGCAACGCTAGTAAAAACGAACAGAGATCAACTAGCGGCAGACAGGTCTTCACCCTCAAGGCAGAGTAGTCGAAAACAACGGAAACCAACACTACTCCAAGTCGACCCAAAGAAGAAGCCTTATTAGCTTTTCAAGGAGGTGAGGTGTTGGGGATCCACGATACCCCAAGATTGCTCGTCGTTGGTTTCTGGCACTATTTACACTAATTCACTAACATGTGTTTTATTACGCCTTTTATCAGTTCAAGGTCAACCTTGACTTGAATTAGTTTTCTCTTTTGACAACTCACTCTGCACGTGGCTGATGTGATTAAAGCTCTCCGCATGAGCACTGGTCTTGTCCTTGTATTAGCGTGGGAAGGTCGGTGTTAGCGTCAACAAGGGATCTGGTACCGTTATTTGAGTGGTTTTCTCTTTGTTACGGGAAAACCTAACACTTACATTTACTCACAGACTTTAATGAACTTATTGACGATTAACATAATACGCATTCACAACCTAAGTTAATCAACAGATTTTCGTCTCTATACATGTTTCTTACTATCGCACTGTCTCAGATTATAATCTTGTTCCGCAACAGTCTCCTCCCTTGAAACAATGTGTCTTTACTCAGATTTCTGAGTAGACGTGCCCACCGGAACTCCACGACCGGTAAACGACCTTTACGTAGATAAATATCAATTTAACTGATTGGGGTTTCTTTCACAAACACATTACACTCACCACTGTCGCAATTTTCTTCGTCTATTTTGCCCTACGACTAACACGGGGCGGTTGGGATATTGCCAGGGATTTGCACCCTCGATTATCAGAGATGTGACGCCCAGTTAGCCTCTAGCTTGATTTGGTCTGCACATTTTTGTTGCCGAATTGACGCGGCTCAATGGCCCTCCTAAGTTTTCGCAGGTGTCTCGGCTATTTGAAGCTTCGCATAATTGACAACCCCTCAGCATTCCATCACTTTTACTCATGGTAACAAATCACTTGGAACGAGATACATAGCAAACCACATTACTGACCTTCCAAAACCTACCCCCAGAACCATTTCTGAGTTTCAAAACATTGGCAACACAAAACCCTCCTCGATCAGAAGCTTCTTTGACTGTGCAATGCGTTCTTCTGTGTGGGTGTCAAAAAGCTTTCTGTGGGGTCGGCGTTTACTACTTAATAATGTGTTTACAATTCAACAAAAGTGCAACAAGAGTTCACTGAATATGATGTAGTTGTAGTCAGACACTGGACGCGATGTACGCGTGTGCGGTGTAGGTAATTATTCCAATAATCACGGTTCCGTCAATAAAATAAAGATGTGCTTTGTTGGTGACACTCAACACCGTTACTACTCTCGATACCACTACTCCTTCCGTTAGGGCAACACAGCAGTTTGACACACTCCTTTTACTAGTAATTTGATCGCTACTATCGAGAAGCAGAATGCCTACAGTCCACCCGATCATCCACTCAACTCACCAACAATCAATCTCATTCCAAGCTTATTTCACAGTAATTGTGCTAAAAATACACATCGTATATTTTGTGTCATTGTAAATCATTGCTTCGCTCTTCATTGGTCATACTTGTTTTTTTAATTAAAAGGAACAAGTTCCGTTGAAATGGCCTTTTCTCCGTGCAATATTCTGTAGATTAAACGATTTAATCTACTCGAAGGCTAAAAGCGATTTGATAAATGGCACAAAATCCACAGACATGCACATAAAGCAAACGACAGATATGAAGGTGTAGAGAGAGAACTCGTCAACGCAAGGATCACTTTCCTTGAATTACGAGTCAAGTCATCAAGGAAGTCACTGTTGTCTCCAGAAACTGCGAAAATTGTGTCCATTGGTAAGAGCACTCGTTACCAATGAGACCTAGTCGCCTATGACTCAAATTATCAGATCCCATAAGAACATAACTTTCCCTTAACTAATGCTTTGCGATAACACTTCTTGCTATCCACCAAAAGTGCATTAAACCGTTGCCTTGCCTCAAACAGGAGACATGTAGTTTCTGGTAGCATTTGTTATTGGTGCAAAATTGAAATTTGAAGTTCTAAGGCTTCTCGCACTGCCAGATTCAGAGTCCAGGGCATTCCCCTGTGGATACTACAGCAAAATTGACTTGAAATACGCCCCTCGGCGTAAAGCAAATAAACGGTAAAAAGTCACAAGATTGTAGGGTGGAGAAAATGTGTGATCGGATAACGTTGTGATCCTTCGAGGTTAACATTTGAATATGACCACAAGGGGCCCCGACTCCCACACCAAAGCCATAAACCTACGAATACTTAAGCCAGCATGGTCCGTCAATGCCACCGACTCCAATTCCTCTTCTCATATCCCCATGTGGATACTTAACGCATCACGAGTCACAAGCTATCACCTCTCCCGCAACGCTAGTCACCCTATTTTGCTCCGAATCCAACACTACCATCAAATACTGCTAGCAATTTGAACCTTCAATCGTCACCGCAGATGCGACGCTTAGCTACGAATCACTATAAATACAAACATAACCGTGTCATGAATGTGCGCACCTCGTGTTCCCGCCGTCGTGCTAATTAGTTTCACTTTGTCTAGTTGTAAAGAACACGTCGGTGAGATAAAGAGCTGCTCACAACACGATAAAAGGCCCACCGCAAGAAAACCACGAACAGATGTGAAGTTGAAAGACCTCTGGTATTTCAATGATTTAGCATACGTACACACACAGTGTTGAAACAACAGTGCCTACCCATTACCTAAACCGATCACCTCCTAGTTGCCTGTAACTAAACCAAACTGGTAGCAGCGACTTCGACTTATTATGCTGCTGATAAAAGTAGCTATCATAACTAACTTCTAGTGAAACTCCTGGCATTTATTCGAAGCAAACTGACTCTAAAAACTAACCACATCAATCGCAAACTTCGTACACAAACCACGATTAAATACGTGTAACTGGACTTCAAGACTCAGAGAAACCATCCGCACATTCACAAACCGAATGCGCAAGGACCCCACGTCGCGCAATCACCACCACGATCGCTCTCAATAAAACATCATTAACAACCAAATTGGTGGCAACTACGCGGCGGATGGATCTTCCCCATTCACGCATCACTACCTGCAAGTGTCTTCAACCAAACAACATACACTACGTCGTCGGTTCGAACAGGATTCTAAGACGATACGGGTCATAGAGACAATCGGGACCACCACTCACAACATCAAATGATACCTACAAAGGTGCATGAAACTAGACCTCTTATAACACAAGCTACCAATGTTGCACCAACCCAGCAATACGCATGCCAGTAGATAATGAATACCTGCATTGACTAATTTTGAAGATTCCGAGGACGCACACCAACTAACTCCACAGAATCTACTCCAGCTTATTTTCACTGATGAATGCAGCGCATAACACAAAAACTCGGGAGGTACCACAAGGAAACAGCATACACGGACCGTTTATTTTCTCATCTACAAAGTCTTGCCACCTCTGCTGCCACGGAAGTGTACTTCGCCCTCAGGCACAACACTAACTTCTTTGCCACCTTCAGGTTGGCTGACGGGACCACACCGATAGGCAAGGCGACCGTCTGTAGGCATATTAGGTCTACCTGTTTGGCCACGGGCACCAGGCATACGGGAATCCAAGCTGGGCTTGTTCAGTGTAGCGGGCACGATCTCAGCAGGAAGATGGAGAACCTAAATAACGAAACATTAGCAAGGATTTAAGCACACCTCTCTCAAATAATCAATCCCTTCATTGGTCAAAAACCAATAAAATGTTCTCCAAGCAAATCGCTTCTTGACGTAACCACGAGACACAAGGGATTTCAAGACGTTCATCACATAGAGGTTCCTGACCTTGACAGCAGGGTGAATGCATTTCGGCCTGGCATCCTCTATAGCGGTCATAACTCCTTCATTGAGGAGATATTCGTAGATGGAGTTCCTGATATTCAATGGTACAAGCATGTTGCAGCAACCTAAATCCCGTCGACGAACACTACTTACACTGCTAGCTTCCAAAAGTGCCGGTTGACCACAGTTGGAAGATTCGAACAAAATCGGATGAGTTACAATTAGAAGGCATATTTTACCTTGCATTTCTATTTGGACACTATGTAGATATATTTTTGACCGACCAGTACCTTGTTTGATTGCAGGCATACAGCGTTGTGTCATCTCCTATTAAATCCACGTTGTCTGTAATTAAACTAGCCCTGTGTGGTAACAACGCGCTGGCAATTAGAAGGTTAAATGCTGTCGAGCACGATGTGCAACTGTCGTTTGTGTTTTTTAGTGCATATGTGGTACGTGTCTAGTTCAGTTTTCATCATTGTGGATTTTGCTCCCTACAAGAACCGAAATATCATACCTAGTATTATCTCGTTCCAATACTACAGTTAATGTTGAAATCTGAAAAAATTATCCCGTGTTGAGATCCATGTCAATTTTATTTATGAAACAACCAAATTTAGATGCCTTCCGAAGTTGTGATATTACCTGCTGAATGACACCGATTTTAACGCCCGCCATTTTTTACGTTAGTCTATGATCCTGATACCTCAATCTATTGACCATATCGACCTCCTAGACTTATTTGCATCAACCAGTAAGCCGGAACAATTTTCATCATTGACAAATGTTGCAATATTCGTGAGTGATGTATTATTACACTTATTAGTGTATTTCATGCACGACATCGCCATGTGTACTTATGTCTCTAGTCGCCTTTTATATGGTCTTCTACAACCTTTTAGAATCTGCATTCTTTTGATCCTCATTGGTTCTTGCGATTGTATTCCTACGAAGTCTCATCTTCCCTTACGTCGTGAAAAACATCTTTTTGGTACATACCACATCTGAATCACCGTGCTGAAATTGCAATCAGAATCTTCAGTACAATCATCATATGTATATGTCTGTGGCACTAATCAAATAGCACATAAAAGAACAATAATAATGTGTTTCTAGACTAGTCCTGTTCAGTCAATTATGGGAATAGGCATACAAGGACAAAACGAAAATGCTCTATGAATAAATGCATGCTAAATCTGTTATGGGAATAAGGCGATGGGTTTTTGTAATTCGCACAACGTGCTCTTATGCAGATTGC